AGCAGTAACTGTACTGCTACTGCTACAGCAACAACAATAACGACAACAACAACAACAACAACAACAATAACAACTACAAATTCAATAGGAGAAAATTGCCAAGCACTTCGAGATGAATTAACACGAGTAAAGTTAGGTTTAGGTATTGGGTTAGGTTCTGGTATGGTGATAACTAGTAGCATGGCAGTTGGTTTTTATGTGTATTTTGCTAAACGGTAAGGCTGCTGCATTATACAAGCAAATTCAATTTTGTTTGTTTGTTGTTATAGTACTGCACAAATGCCGTTCTCAGCAATAAGTGCTGTACAGCTCAATAGATTCTAGTTCAAAACCACTTTTAGTCCTAAAGATTATCAGGTGTATATTCGGGTAATCAAGAAAAACATTTTTAGAGGGATGCTTTTTGTCATCAGTTTGATTTTACTTTATTTTATTTTATTCTAGAGTGTTTGATTCATAAATTATTATTATTTTTCCATTTTTTATATCGTTTAGTACAAACCATTTTAGTTGAAATAAATAGAAAATCTTTCTTCTGTTTATTTTTTTTCACTATGAAACGATTTTACATTCATTTGAGCAAAAACCATACTTCGAAATTTACACGATCACTTAGATGTATCCGCAATGAGGATGTGAGTGTAGGTACAAGTGTGTGTGGGCGTGGGTGGGGTGTGGAATGTGGGTGTGAGATGGGTGTGGGTGTGGGTGTGAGTCGTCCTTGAAGTTATCAACAACCAGACCCACACTCCCACTCACCCACACCCATACCCTTCACCTTCTTGCACATTTATTAAATTTAAAGTCTTCTGTTGACTATCAGATTTCAATGAATCAAATGGTTGTTGATGCACTGACGAAAATGAACTATAAAGACCATGACGATACTTTTTTGTGTCGTTGTTTTTTTTTTTTGACTTTCTAAAGGAAGAAGAATAGATATATCTCGACGATCAACTTCTTTAGATACTCACGACGAACTAGTTGTGTTAGCGTCAAGAGATATTACATTGTTCTCTATAATTTTTTTCGTTCGTTTGTCCTCCTTTACGTGACCTATGTAGGGTTCGATGTTTTCCCAACACACAATATGAATACTTATATATCTTTTTTCTTCTTCTCTCCTTTTCCCTCCTTTCTCTCCCTCTGTCTTTGGTTCAACTTTGTGAACAAGTCTTTCTCTTGTTCAGATGATATGATTCTTTGATATTGTTCAGTTGATATGTTTCTTTGATATAGTCCAGTTGATATATTCTTTTGTTATTGTGATCACATGCATTACATCATTAAATACATATTCATCTTCCGGATTTATGTTTCCTTGTCTATCATATCAATTTACAAGTTAAAGTAGGACTACTAACACTACTTATCTAGCTAATACAAATCTTGATTCTCTTGATTCCTTCCAGCCTATTAACATTTAGTGAGCAGGAGACTTTAGATAAAGAGAAGCTAACAAGGTGTGGGTGTGGGTATGGTTGTGGGTGGGGTGTGGGTGTGATTGTGGGTGGGATGTGGGTGCGGGTGTGAGTGTGGGTGTGGGTGGATGTCAGCATGAGAGTGTGGGTGTGGACGTTGGGTGTGAGTGTGGATGGGGTGGGGTGTGGATGTGGGGTGGATGTGAGGGCGTGGTGGGTTTTCAGGTGTTTGCATTTCTCTTCTCATCATACCGACGACAGAGCTATAGCTACAGTTACACACCCATCCACACTCACACACCCACACACCCACACACTCACACCCTTATTATTGAATGGTCAATAAAAAAATAAATACATCATTTTCCATAAAAATAATTCCTATTCGAGATGTTTTGCTAGAAGAAATCAATCATTTCTGATTGCTGAAACATTTTTATTTATGCTTTTTGACGAATTAGCCTTAGAATTGTTTTTATTTAGATTAATTTCATCAGATGATGATCATTTATAACACATTTATATTATTCTGATATTGATCTATTTATTATCTTCTTCAACAGATGATTTAATTGATTTATTTGTTCGTATCAATTCAAATATGAATCAATCTAATGAATTTTATGACCTTGAAAAATATTTTTAAAATCGTCCAAATTTATATGAAGAAATTAATCAATTAAATAATAATTATTATGATTCATTATTTTATTATGATCAAATAGCATTAAAAATAGATTCATCAAAATTAATTCAATCATTATGTTTATGTAGATTTAATCATATACTTGAACCATATTTAAATCAAATATCATCATTATCTGATCAAATGTTTTATTGTATTCAATTAACATCAATATTCACTGAACAAAATAAATTAACACAATGGAATATATATAATCAACAATCATCAAATAATATTTGTGATAATATTTTATCAATAATACAACGACAAATACATATGCCATCATCATCAATATCACAATGAATTGATCATAATTTATAGTCAAATGTTTCTAATTTACGTGAATGTTCTCTTATTAATATTATTGATGATATTGTAATATATGATAAAAATCCTGAAATATTATCAAATATATGGATAAATCAATGAAATAATCCAATAAAAGAAGATATGTTTGATCAAAACAATGAAATTATATTAGCATGTGTAACTATAACTCAAAAATTATTATTACATAATATTAATGAAAATATAGAAAAGCGAGATGTTAAACAAAAACTTTTAGCAGATCTTGTTACTCAACTATGTCAAAATGCATTAGATTAAAAAAAAACTTCAAGAAAATGACTTTCATTTTAGATTAGTCTTTTTTTTAAACCCGAGAAAACTACGATTACATAAATTTCTCTCGTTAACTTCCCTCAAAACCTTCAATCCTCTGAAAAGTTGACATATTCCATGATGTTTAGTAGCATACATTTTCATTAAAACGTAGTATTCTACAGAACGTCATAACATTTAGTCGAACGGCAGAGTGCTCAGCAGTCCGCTTCGATCCCTAATAGAAGTAGTGTGGTCTTTTGAGATAATTATTATTTGTATGCAATAAGAGCTAATGCAAAAATCGGAGTACTGAATAGGACTACCAAATAATGCTATAACTTAGTGTAATCTGAACTTATGCTACTGATAAGTACTTTTTAATGAAAATGAATACTGCTAAGAATTAAGTCATCCTGCTTTGCATTATTTCGTCTTGCCCAGTACTCTATGCCATTCTCTACTGGGCACTACGTTTTAATGAAAATGTATATCGCTAAGCATTATGAAGTGTACCAACTATTCATAGAAATGAGGCTTTCTATGAGGATTAATTAGGCGAATTTGGGACATGCTCGAAATTTCGTCCTTTCTCTCATGTTATTTATTTTCATTAGCGAAAAATCATTTTTGTTGAAATTAATTATACAACAAAAACGAATTTATCTTGATCCAGAACAATTAAATAAGATATTATTTTCTTTAGTTATGTGATCGATATTTAATTGATTTATTACCTTTAATTAATCTAACATATTTTCATGAATCATTATTTCTTCGTGGTAAAGTTCTTGTACTTCGTCAACAAGATATAGCAGATGAATACCTTCGACAATTAATTGAAACACCATTAGCTGATTCAATTCAAATTCGTTGTCTTTTATTATTATGTGATTGACTTAACAAATATAAACAAAGATGTCGTAAATGATCAAATTTTCATCGCTTATTATCTCTGCTACTTAGATTTTGAAAACTTTTCTTATTCTATAAATCTATACAAAGTTTCGTACGAAACAAAAAAAAATATCAAATTAAAAAGATTTGGCTCAAAACAGTACAGAACAAAACAAGAAGATATCCATGGCAAATATCATCATTACAATCTTATCGGACAGTAGCCTTCGCCGTAAGCACGTCGCCAGGGGCGTACCCAGGAATTTTCTGAGAGGGGTGCCCGACTCATTATGGGGCTAGATACTAGCAGAAAAATTAATTTTTGTTTCCCGAAGAAATCTTTTACCCGTACCCCCCTCCAGGCGTTTTTTGGCTGAGGGGGGTGCCCGGGCACCTGAGGGCACCCCCCCCTGGGTACGCCCCTGCACGTCGCTATGGGGATAATACGTTCAAATCAGAATTCTTTTTCTGACTTTCACCGTATCACTTGTGGATGGATGTAAGACTGTAAAAAAAGACTCATACGCACACTTGCGGTGGAATAACAATCTTACTAAAATAAATCACTGGTCAAAAGGAGTGAATATATTTTGTCAAGATTCAATAGAAGCTTCTTTGACAAGTTAAATAATTCTATAAGATAGAAACTACAGTTTGTGACGAAGTTTATCAACATATTCTTGATTTTCTTTCACTTCGGAATGAACAGGTCCGAATAGAAGACGAGTCATATCAACAGCCTTTTGTGCATATTCTACAGCTTCTTGATATCGATTAAGACGTTCAAATGTTTTTGTTATATTATAGAAATTTACTGCTAATTCTGGATGAATTGATTGAAAAGATTTTTGTCGAATATTTATTGTTTTTTGATACTACAAAAGTGCATTTGAATAATTGCCCACTAAATAATACATCATAGCAATTTTACCACAAATGTCAGCTAGCATACTGTGTGTCGGTGAAAAAACTTTTTCTTGAATCTCAAATGTTTTTTGAAAATGTAATAATGCTGTTGAATAGTTTTTCATCTTATAATGTGTGACACCAATATTCGTATGAATTAAAGCTAAATCGAGATAAACAGCGGAAAGCGTTTTTTTGCCGAATATCAAGGGCTTTTTGATAACACAACAATGGTGTTGAGTAATTTCATAGGTTATCTTGTACGGCTCCAATGTTGTTGTAGATATTTGCAAGATCAGGATCAGTTGGTGGAAGACATTTTTGCTGAATTTCTAGAGCTTTTTTGGTATTATTCAAGTGCAATTTGATAGTCATTTTTTAAATCATAAACAAAACCTATATTATCATAAGTTGTTGCTAAGTTTGTATGAGTAGACGGAAGAACTGTTTTTTAAGTATTATGGACTTCTTGAAAATTTTTAAGAGCAGTAGAATAATCTCCCATTGCAGCATAAGTAGAACCCATGTTTTTATAAGTCATCGCCAGTTCAGGATGCGTCAATGGAAGGCTATTTTTTTGTATAGCAAGCGCCTTTTGATAATAGGAAAGTGCAATTGAATAATCGCCCATCGAATCATAAACAAAACCCATATTGTTGTAGGTTTCAGCTGGCCTATAATGGACAGTCGGAAGAGATTTACGATAAATTTCAAGTGCCTCTCGATAGTTTGCTAGTGCAGTTGTATAGTCTCCTATCGAATGATAGATAACAACAAGATTATTAAAACTTAAAACTGAACTTGGATGGCTCGATGGAAGAACTTTTTTTCGGATTTCAAGTGCTGTTTGATAATGAGAAAGTGCATTTGAAAAGTCACCGATCAAACGATATACTGTCGCAATATTATTATGAGTTACAACCCGATCAGATTCCTTCGATAAAGGAATGTTTTCTTCGATTTCACATTCTTTTTTATACATTGCAAGTGCAGTTTCATAATTTCCCATAGACTTATATACTAAAGCAATGTTACCATGAGTCACATAAAGATCTGAATGTGTGCAAGAAGCTTTCTGATTGATTTTGATTGCTTTTCCATAGGATTCCAATGCTTTCTTGTCTTCACCTTTATTAGCAAGAAGAACTTCAAGCTGATTATGAAATGAAGCACGTGGTTCACAATCATCGATAGGTGTTGTTTCGAGAAGTTTTCTTTAAATTGTTTCGGCTTTGTCGTATTCATTTAACTGAATCATTAACCAACCTAATCGATGATAATGAGATCTTTCACCAATTTCTTTTCGTATATAATCAGTTAAATATTTAAGCTGTTCATCATTGCCATTCGTTAATGTTAATTTAATTTTTCATAGTCGATTTTCAATTTCATGCATATCACTGATACGAAATATTCTATGCATAGAGAAGAGAATTTTCTTTTTCTGTACTTGAATAATAATAATAACTAAATATGATCTAATGAAGCAAAGGGAATTTATGAAGCAATAGGGTCGATTTCAATTTCAAACAGAATTCCTATCAGATTTGGATCGAATCGAGAACAATCTGCAAAAAGACGAGAAACTAATTCATTGATACTTGTTGATAAAAAGTTATTGAATGATAGTAAGCCACCATGACTATTCTTTAATTTTTCAAAATCAGCATTGAACATGCCTTGACCACGATAAACAATCATTTTTGTTATAGGATGACTCTCAAAATGTAATTGTACAATTTGTTTATGCAGATCTCAAACCAAAAATGCCATCTTCATAAAAACATTAATATCTTGTGTTCTCAAAGCTCGATTAAGTATAGAATAGATAAATGTCTCTTTTGTATACCACCAAATAGGTGAATGATGTTTATAAGTACGTTTATATTCATCAATAGTATTTAATAATACTATATTATCAGCAACACAAATTACATAGAAAATCGACAAACAAGTGTTTTGTCATTTTATCATGTTTCATTTCAATAAAGATTTCTTTTAGTAATTGTGTATACATAAATGACGAATCAATTTCATTTAAATTCATAGACAAAGTTTCAGCAATAATATTAACTGATATGAGACTTTCTTCGCATAATCGAGTGTTTCGTTGCAATTGAGGAAAAATAAATAAGATATCGTGAAAAACTTCTCGAACTTTTTTCTACTCTCTCGACCAATTATTATCAATTGTTTTATTTTTACATAAAATATAAATTGAATCTAGTTGTGATATATCATGTACGAGTGGTAAAATGGTTTCAACAAGAATATTTGATATGATCAGAAAGATTTTTTGATCGTGAACATTTTTGAGAAATTTGACACATGAATAAGGTTCATTAAATATAAAAACTATAGTGGAAATGCGACGTAATTCAATTATCAAATCATCAATTTCATTGATGTTTGACTTAAGCCAAATGACAATAAAATTTTGAATAAATCGATGTCGGTCATTCTGAGATGTAGTAGCAGTATGTAAAGCTTTTTCTGCCATGGTACGACAGCTCTAGAATATAGTAAATAATGTATTGCCTACTTTTATTTCAAATCTTTATCATTAAAAAAACACGCCTTTTCAGTCTTGCTACTTAACTACGTTTATCAATACTGGCCACATAGGAAACGAAATAAGAACGAGCAATAAACTTTCACAGCACAAAACCTTTTGATTAAGCGCAATGCGAGAGTAGATATGAGTTTATAGGCATATAAATAATATACTATGAAAGAACTTTTATTGAAACAAAATATTGACGCTAGTATACAGATAGAAAAAAAAAGGGAGTCTTAAAGGTGAACTGTAGAAATAAATATTCATTTGCCTACTTCAGTAATTCAAAGAGACTAGATGTTCCAACTATCAAATGAATTGATTTAACTGATGAATTGGTTTGTTAAGTAAAAACCAAAAAAGGTTACATATTCAATCAATATACAGAAAGATCATCGATTCTACTTTGCTTGATGTTACAAAAACACTCAGATCTAATCGATACAAGATACTCGTGAATCAATGTCGAAAGATTGATGGAAGCCAACTTCCATCAATGTTCTGTTGTGTAAAACGCAGTTTATTGGTCCATTCAGTATAAGAACTTTGGCTTTCATTAGACTTGAAAATCACATTTAACAAGGGACAGCTTCCAGGTGTTACGCTCTGTTTTGAATTGAATATTTGCCATTTTGTAGAACTCAATGAGTATAACATCTGACATATAGAGTTTGTCCCCATACTGTATTTTTAAGGAACATCATACGATATCTTCTGAAAAATTATTTTGAGACTCTTAACTGAAGACTTACATTCTAAGAATATGCTTGATTTCAAGCTGTTTATACTTTTGATTGAATAAATCATACTCACTCCGAAGAATGTTTCAGGTGAAGGAAGACGTGAATTATATATCCTTATTAGAGAATTTTTTTCCGATCTAAATGTATTACTTACATAGTTGATGGCATGTAAAATACTAAGAGTTAAAATGTGCTCAAACTTCGTGTTTAAGCATGACATATGAATATGTTTAGGTGAGTATGATTTATTCAATCGAAAGCCTAAACGACTTGAAATCATAAGGATGTGGGTGTGGGGTGTTAGTACACTTTCAGAACAGACACACATCCACATCCTATGGTTACTCCAACGAAGGGTCTCATTGAATCTCTTGGCTTTCGCCATTTTGGAAAAATTTCAATTTTCATAGTATATAGTGATCATATATTAGATTCTTTCATAGGATGACTCATTTGAGCAGAAAGTCAACAAATCTCTTGATCCCTTTAGGGTGTGGATGTTTGATTGTGCTTGTCTGAATTCATATCTACACGAAACACGAGTATAGCCACAGCCAAGTCAAAATATCCACATCCTCAAAGACAAACATATCAAATACAAAAATATTTATCTAAGCATATGCTGAAAATCGATTAACTAATATCCAACGTTTTGTGCTGAATTATTTTTCTCTCCGAAATAGAGAAATGAAAACAGTGAAGAACACTTCAGATGAAGAATAAATTGAGAAAATATCTGAGATCTAAAATATTCGCAGAAGATGCGTGAGTAAAATTAGATATGGTGTGTAGTAGATTGGTGAAGGGTTTTTCTCCACCACATCAGCACCTCCATTTTTACTGACGATTACTTGTTCATGGATTTGAGTTCTTTGCTAATTAAATTAACCAAATTATTTGCCATCCAATTTATCATTTCTTCTAGAAGGAATCTCGCAGAATGACTTCATTAATTAAAAGAACACAGCTAATATCAAACATTGACTGATGGACTTCACATAAAGTGTTCGGCGAAATCGTTTCTCTTGTGTACAGGGTTGCCAAATCTCCTGATTTGAGCAGGGAACTCCTGATTTTTTATTTTTTCTTCTGATAAGAAATCTCCTGATTTCAGGAGCTGATTTTTATGATTTTCTCCTACTTTCTCCTGATTTATAGTTTTGTTTCTAGTTGAGTAAAACAGAAACCAGTGAATTAGATATGATCTCATATAGACTTGCTAGACATTGTACGTACACCTAACTTACAAAAGCTACTGTAGTTTAAGTGCGCTTTTCTCATTTCTGCTTCAAGTGAATTTCGTGAAACAGCTTTTAGCGACGTGAGATATTATTGAGCAACCAGAGACATACAATGAAACATTATTTTCTATAAGCTGAACTGAAATTTAAAATGGAAACATATCACACTAGCACATAGTTTTATGATTATTTCCTAAGTAAACCTTATCTATTGAAACAATTATGTTGATCAAATAACTAAGTCATTTTTTAAAAGTACGACGAATTGCNGGCACCCACCCCCACACCAACCCCCCACACCCCACAACCACGCCCACACCCACACCACACCCACACACACTCCACACCCACACTCACACACACTCCACACCCACACTCACACCCACACTCCATACCCACACTCACACACACACTCCACACCCACACCCACACCCACACCACACCCACACCCACACCCACACCCACACCCTCAATCCATTTTAAAATATTAAAAAAACCATTTTAAAGCATTCATATGAAGAATATTTTAAAATATATTTCCGTCAATAGTCATACCTTATTTATGAGGTCTTGCTTGGAGAAAAAAACATGCTGATATAAGGGTGTGAGTGTGGGTGTGTGGGTGTGGGTGTGGGTGTGGAGTGTAGGTGTGGGTGTGGGTGTGGCTGGGTGGTATGGATGTGGGTGGGTGTGTCGGTGTCAGTGTGGGATGTGGGTGTGTGTGGGTGTGGGCGTGGTTGTGGGGTGTGGGGAGTGGGTGTGGATGTGGACTACAAAAATTAAGAACACAGATCCTTAGCCACAGACACCGTGACACCCACACACAACACCAACAGTCACACCCATCTACACGCAACATCAACACTCACGCCCATTGACACCCACACCCACACCTAACACCAACAGTCACAACCACCGACACGCAACATCAACACTCACGCCCATCCACACCCACACCCACGCCCACCCAACCACACCCACGCCTACCCAACCACACCCACGTCTTCCCAACCACATACACACCCACCCACACCCTGCAAAATATATCATTGACTACACTATACTGACAGTCGATCACTTGCACAATTGCCGGTACTGTGCTCATGGAGATTTTCTAGCAACCGAATCGCTGCCCAGTATGTTATTCTTATTTTTCAGCTTTGAAAACGCTCTATCTCTAGAGAAAAAATGGCAATTGCATCAGCAGTCAGAATCAAGATCGACAGAACCATGGTATCAAAATCGTTCGTTTCTCCGTAGAAACTGAACAATGTGGTCCTTGGAAATTTTCCAGCGCAGAACAGTTGTCTTTCCGTTTTATGATCATTTTGTAGCTCTTGAAAATTTCTGTCTGTGTACTAAAAAGAAGGATGGTCTCAGGAGCATAACTTAAGGGCCTATGTATCATACTATCTCAACGATCGATTTTCCTGTGCAACTCGGACAATATGGTACTTGGAAATTCTCGAGCACCACATAATGTAATCTAGAATTTGTGATCATTTTAAAGATCGTAAAAAAATTTATCTGTACAGCAAAAACGATGATGGCATCAGGAGGAATACTTAAGTTCCTACGGATCATACTATTACAGCAATGCGTTTTTCTGTTAAACCTGGACAGTGTGATCCTTGGAAATTCTCGAGTGCAGCATATTTTACTTCCCAATTTGTGATGATTGTGTAGCTCTTAAAAACAACTGTAGCGGCCCTGAAAATATAAGGCTAATATGGTGAACTGACGCGGTAAGCGTTTGAGAGGGATTTCAATATTAATAATGTTTCTGCGCTAGGTAGAAATGTTGAGAAGAGGTCCAGATGTTTTATTCTTACTTAGAGGAAGATAAAGTTCAATTTTATCAAATGTTCTGAGATGATTTTTATTGAGGGTCGTTTTACGTGCAAACCCGTCCGATCCTCTGAAAACTCGAATAAGAATGGATAAATGATTAAGCAATTGAAGTATGAATATTGAAATTGAAATTTGAATTAAGATTTAGAAGCTTGAACAAACAGAAAGAGAAGACCTGCAATGAATATAAAAGGTTTAAATGTTTGAAAAGTCTAGAAAAGAAAAGTTTTTCAGGTCGAGGTCAAAGTTTCAGTTCATTGTTGTTGGTTACGGAGCAACACCACCAAAACTGTCAATGTAGGCGTAACCCCTGTGACCACCTTGGTTGCAGTCTGCTGCCATAATATTAAGAACGAAATCGTGACCAATGCGAGTGCTACTAATGTTCAAGTGCTCGATTTGCCACGATGGTGTGTAAAAAAGGCTATCCGATACGTTAAAACGAGAATCAACTCCCCCGTTGCCAGCTTGTGCATTGTATTGGCGCAAGAGTAGTGTATCACCAATGGTCGCATCTTTCAGTTCAATCACTAGGAGACTAGATTGTTCGGCAGTATGTCCACCGTTTTCCAATACAGCTAACCATGCAAAGTAGATATCAGTACAATAGTATTGATTAATGCGCTGGCTGAGAGCTGACATATATGAGTTAACAGTTACATCTTCAATACGCCACGAGTAACTGCCCTGAAATACAATATTTGGCATCAGCGCTCCAAGCGATGGATCATTTCCACTAGTAACAATACTTGAATGACTATTTGCAATGTTTGAATCATATTTGGAACCACCTGGCAAAATATCACCTATTTGTAACTGTGACGAATTAATACTCCCCCGATAACCACCGCCAATTGTCCAACCAAAAGAATTACCCAACTCAAAGTCACCATTCGTGAAACTGCTGAATGAGCATTCTATCAAAAAAGTAGAGGAGAAATAATTTACCTGTGGAATGTTGAAAATCATTTATGGAAATTTCAATGTATTTGCTTTACAACAGATAAATCTCACTTTTTCTTAATAAACAAACAACGTTATTGAAAAACTATTGGAAACGAGTGAATAGTTTTGCTAGTATTTACACTAGAGTTCATAAGAAACCACGCCAATATCCGATATTCTTTTACTCTGGTTTTGAATGTGCAGTAATTAAATTCTTTCATAAGTTAGATTATGAAACAACCTAAGATATTGTTTAGAATTATTTAGTCTATAATTTAATGAATGATTGTCAATATTGTTCTATGTCTGTGGTTGTTGCATCAATTTACTACGTGGTATATTTAGGGATGGCAAGTTATCGTTCCTAGGCCGTTACTCAGTAACGGTAACGGTAACGGGTGCTTTGGAAAGAGCTATCAGTTACCCAACTAACTGATAACGGGACACTACCAGTTACTTTTTCCTGGTAACTTCTCAAAAAGACGAAATATCACTTCTATTCAACCAAATATCGACAACACATCAGTAAACAGAGTTTACAGTTACCAATTACCCTGGTAACTGTTATCCGTTTCTAGTGACCTGGGACTGGGCCGGGTGAGTAAAAAATATAATCATAATATTCTGTTGACGGGAAGTGATAATTCATCTTTTTGAACAAGTTAACAGGAAAAGTAACTGGTAACGGTAACTTTCTACCCCTAGACATATTTGAGCTGTAGCAACAATATTGGATAGAAACAAAATCGAAAAGTAACAAAAACAGAAGAGATGAGTGCTATATTTTCAATTTTTCAACAAAATACAAAAATGGTTCAGAAGTTTTATGAAAATTTATCTTATGCCTCTNGGTTGTGTTCTAGTTCTTTTTCGTGTTCGCGTTCGTGTTCGTGTTCGCGCTCATGTTCGTGTTCATGTTCAAGTTCTGTGCTTTTTCTGTCATATCTGAAGATGACCACATAGTAGGTCGAAAGCTCATATGAAATAAAATTCAAGATCTCTAAAATACTAGCTGCATTTATTCTTTATTACTTACATATTTACAAATGCCCATAAAACTGAATTTGTCATATTTAGATGATCTATTTGCTATTAAATTTGCATCAGATATACGAAAAGATGAACATTCGTATCATGATCTTTTTAATGTTGAATTAATACGTTTACAATTAGATACATGTCCATGGCGTTTAACTAAAATTAATGAAAATTATGAATTATGTACTAGTTATCCAAAATATTGTGTTGTACCATCTATTATAACTGATGAAGAAATTAGTGAAGCTGCTGAATTTAGATCATATAAACGATTTCCAACAATTGTTTGGAGGTAAAAATTTAGTATAAACATCGGCCTCACAGTTTTGAATTATCCTATCGAAAGAGAAAATGCTGCACTCTCACGTAAGGTTACACAGTGTACCAATATGAAACATAGTTTGTTTTGTTATATCGTTTAATATGACAAGGGTAGACAGTTCAGGATCAGGGTCCAAAATTTTCTTTCTGTCAAATTATAGTTCATATTTTTATCGAAAATCTTATTTAATTTAGACATGCTAATGGTGCAATTATTGCTCGAGCAAGTCAGCCAGAAGTTAGTTGGCTACTTCGGCGTTCAAAAGAAGATGAAAAAATGATTCAAGCTATAATTAATGCATGTAATGGTAAATAATCTTTAACCAAAAAATAATTCACATTTTCTAAAAAATTTTTATATTTATAGGTGAAACAAATTCAAATCGTTTACTGATTCTTCATCTGGGAACTCGTGATGCTGCTATTGAAAATTATGCTAAGTATTATCCAGATTGTGATGTAAAATTTATGAATTTACCTGATATACATGCAACACGTCGAAGTGCACGAATGTTAAGTGCTGTTAATGCAGCACAAGATAAAAAGTAAGTTTATTGTAAAAAAAAAAATAGTATTTCAAAAATAAAAAAACTCCTTTGTTTTCTAGTTATTATTCACAATTAGCATCAACACAATGGTTACAATATTTCCTAGCATTAATTAAGGCAGCATCTTGTGTTGTTGCTAATGTTGATAAACATAATCGATCAGTACTTGTACATTGTTCAAATGGTCGAGATCATACACCACAAATAATCACATTAGCTGAAATAATGCTTGATTCCCATTATCGAACAATAAATGGTTTTCAAATCTTAGTGGAACGTGAATGGATTCAATTTGGACATAAGTTTGGTGATCGTTGTGGTCATGGTGTTGATTCAAATGATCCAAATGAACGTAGTCCTGTTTTTCTTCAATGGTTAGATTGTATTTATCAATTAATGATTCAAAATGAAACTTCGTTTGAATTTAATGAAATATTTCTAGTAAGATTAGAAAACATTTTCTTTTTAATCGAAAAATGCTTTTTTTTAGCGTGAATTAGCTCAACATACATATTCTTGTTTATATGGAACATTTTTATGTAATACAGATTTTGAACGAACAACAGCTAATTTAGAAAAAAAAACATTAGGTGTATGGAGTTTATTAAATATACAATCAACCCCATTTATTAATTCTTCATTTAATAAAACAATAAAAGAGGTAAAAGAAACAAAAATATTTTTATCTTATATTTTATTTTTTAAGGTTCTTTATCCATCATGTTCCATTGATAATTTACGTATTTGGTCGGTTTTATATTTATGTTATATGCCTGTTGGTTCATCTGAACGTCCATCATCAACAAGTACGATCCAGAACGAAAACAACAATAATGATCGTCAATCAACAATATGTGAATCAAATGGTTTACCAAATTTATTTAAAAAAATGTCACGACGAAGAAAAAGACAAGATTCAAATTCAACACAACGATCGGTTTGTATAAGATTTTTTATTTGAAAGATAAAACAAAGAATTGATTTCAATGAGCCTCCCTCCATGATCGAAACCTGTCCCATATCAGATGCCAGTATATCAATATCGAATGAAGACCATTATTATTTCGATGAAAGGTATTGAGTGGTGTCAAATTCATACTGTTATGCTTGGAAATTTTCCAGCGCAGAACAGTTGTCTTTCCATTTTATGATCATTTTGTAGCTCTTGAAAATTTCTGTCTGTTTATTAAAAAGAAGGATGGTCTCAGGAGCATAACTTAAGGTCCTATGTATCATACTATCTCAACGATGGATTTTCCTGTGCAACTCGGACAATATGGTACTTAGAAATTCTCGAGCACGACATAATTTAATCTAGAATTTGTGATCATTTTAAAGATCGTAAAAAACTGTATATGTACAGCAAAAACGATGATGGTATCAGGAGCAATACTTAAGTTCCTACGGATCATACTATTACAACAATGCGTTTTTCTGTTGAACCTGGACAGTGTGATCCTTGGAAATTCTCGAGTGCAGTATATTTTACTTCCCAATTTGTGATGATTTTGTAGCTCTTAAAAACAACTGTATCGGCCCTGAAAATATAAGGCTAATATGGTGAACTGACGCGGTAAGCGTTTGAGGGGGATTTCAATATTAATAATGTTTCTGCGCTAGGTAGAAATGTTGAGAAGAGGTCCAGATGTTTTATTCTTACTTAGAGGAAGATGAAGTTCAATTTTATCAAATGTTCTGAGATGATTTTTATTGAGGGCCGTTTTACGTGCAAACCCACCCGATCCTTTGAAAACTCGAATAAGAATGGATAAATGATTAAGCAATTGAAGTATGAATATTGAAATTGAAATTTGAATTAAGATTTAGAAGCTTGAACAAACAGAAAGAGAAGACCTGCCAGGAATATAAAAGGTTTAAATGTTTGAAAAGTCTAGAAAAGAAAAGTTTTTTAGGTCGAGGTCAAAGTTTCAGTTCATTGTTGTTGGTTACGGAGCAACACCACCAAAACTGTCAATGTAGGCGTAATCCCTGTGACCACGTTGGTTGCAGTCTGCTGCCATAATATTAAGAACGAAATCGTGACCAATGCGAGTGCTATCAATGTTCAAGTGCTCGGTTTGCCACGATGGTGTGTAAAAAAGGTTATCCGTTGCGTTAAAACGAGAATCAACTCCCCCGTTGCCAGCTTGTACATTGTATTGGCGCAAGAGTAGTGTATCACCAATGGTCACATCTTTCAGTTCAATCACTAGGAGACTAGATTGTTCGGCAGTATGTCCACCGTTTTCCAATACAGCCTACCATGCAAAGTAGATATCAGTACAATAGTATTGATTAATGCGCTGGCTGAGAGCTGACATATATGAGTTAACATTTACATCTTCAATACGCCACGAGTAATTGCCCTGGAATACAATATTTGGCATCAGCGCTCCAAGCAATGGATCATTTCCTCTAGTAACAATACTTGAATGGGTATTTGCAATGTTTGAATCATATTTGGAACCACCTGGCAAAATGTCACCTATTTGTAACTGTGACGAATTAATACTCCCCCGATAACCACCGCCAACTGTCCAACCAAAAGAATTACCCAACTCAAAGTAACCATTCGTGAAACTGCTGAATGAGCATTCTATCAAAAAGTAGAGGAGAAATAATTTACTTGTGGAATGTTGAAAATCACTTATGGAAATTTCAATGTATTTGTTTTACAACAGATAAATCTCACTTTTTCTTAATGAACAAACAACGTTATTGAAAAACTATTGGAAACGAGTGTATAGTTTTGCTAGTATTTACACTAGAGTTCATAAGAAACCACGCTAATATCCGATATTCTTTGACTCTGGTTTTGAATGTGCAGTAATTAAATTCTTTCATAAGTTAGATTATGAAACAACCTAAGATATTGTTTAGAATTATTTAGTCTATAATTCAAAGGATGATTGTCAATATTGTTCTATGTCTGTGGTTGTTGCATCAATTTACTACGTGGCATATTTAGGGATGGAAAGTTATCGTTCCTAGGCCGTTATTCAGTAACGGTAACGGTAACGGCTGCTATGGAAAGAGTTATCAGTTACCCAACTAACTGATAACGAGATCACTACCAGTTACTTTTTCCTGGTAACTTCTCAAAAAGACGAAATATCACTTCTATTCATCCAAATATCGACAACACATCAGTAAACAGAGTTTACAGTTACCAATTACCCTGGTAACTGTTATCCGTTTCTAGTGACCTGGGACTGGGTCGGGTGAGTAAAAAATATAATGATAATATTCTGTTGACGGGAAGTGATAATTCATCTTTTTGAACAAGTTAAGAGGAAAAGTAACTGGTAACGGTAACTTTCTACCCCTAGGCATATTTGCGCTGTAGCAACAATATTGGATAGAAACAAAATCGAAAAGCAATGAAAACAGAAGAGATGAGTGCTATATTTTCAATTTTTCAACAAAATACAAAAATGTTTCAGGAGTTTTATGAAAATTTATCTGATGCCTCTATAAAATCGAGTACGCAGGTATCAAGGTGTATTTTTCGTGATTCAAGTACTAGTTAGATTATAGTACCA